GCAGTAGACCAAATTCTTAGTAGATGCAAATAAGGGGGATGGCTCGCTGAGCCCTTTCAGACCAGGAAATCCTGGTCACCTGTACTAGGAAGCAGGAAATGGTTCTCTCATACACCCCTATGCTGAGTCCTTAATCTAGGGCAGCCATAGTTTGTACAGTAAGGGGGGAGAAAGGTTTTGAGCAGGCACCTGCTGCCTGTACTCTTAACCCCACTAAACTAGAAAATCACATTCAAACCAACTTATTTTATCTCCTACAGGTTGGGGTTCTAACCACCATGGCAATCCTCCTGCATGAAATACCACATGAGGTGAGAGGGTTCTGTAACCTACTATCAGGGGAGAGCTACAGGGGTGCTCTGTTTATGGCAGGAGGTTTGGGTCTTGTCTGTAGCAGACAGCAGTGCTCCATATCCAGGAAGAAGGCTGGGAGAAGTTCTCTGCTTTCCATCCATCCTCTTGGTCCTTGGAGGAGCTGTTACCTTTTGGTACTGACTCTAACCTGTTATGTTCCCCCTCTTGAACTCTCTTTCTTGCTGGTGTTGGCTTTTATGCTTGGGATCAATAACCACTGACTCTGGGTTCCCTTAGGTAGGAGACTTTGCCATCCTGCTCCGGGCTGGGTTTGACCGCTGGAGTGCAGCCAAGATGCAGCTTTCCACAGCTTTGGGGGGAATTCTAGGGGCCTGCTTTGCAATCTGTGTTCAGTTACCTAAAGGAGCAGGTAAGTGTAACTGGGGCTATAGGGGGAGCACTTATTTACTGTCATATCCCTTTGTGTCTTGTTGCCTTTCTGGCAGACAAGGTTTTTTGGGTAGATGTATATATCTTTTAATAGACCAACTGAATAGTTGGAAAAAATGTCTTGTTGCCTTTCTGTTTTTTTAATCTTCCTTTGACATTATTAATAACAATTTCCACTGTCTGTGCAGGAGAAACCGTAGCTTGGATTCTTCCATTCACCTCTGGGGGATTTCTGTATATTGCCTTGGTGAATGTCGTGCCTGATCTCCTGGAGGAAGAGAATCCTTGGTAAGTGCTCCAATAGAGATAAAGAAGAGAGCAAGCTAATAAACCTCCCTGGACTCCACACTTCTGTTCCTGGGAGCATGTGAGTGCTCTTCCTAAATCCTGTGAGCATGTCAGATGGTACCTAGACAGACTACTGTGCTCACTTTATGTTCCAGAAGATTTGCTAGTTGATACTGGGCACAACAATTGAAAGCTACTTCAGCCTATCCCCAGTGTAACATGCTGGCTTCTACATGCTTTGAGCTAGCCTGCATGTGTGACTGGATTAGGATCCTAGAGTTTAAATGAAACAGCAGTGTACGGTTCCATTGAAGCTGTTGCCTATCCCCTGCCCTCTGGGTGTCCACTCCTCCCTTTCTTCTCTCCAGTGCATTGCTTTAATGTTTATCATCATTTGGTAGGAAATTGGTATTGACAGGGGGAGGTGGGTCCCACATCAGGTGGTGTTTGGCTCCAAATGGGTTCTAACTGCCCAAACTCTGTGATCTGTATTGATTTATTTTCAGGGTGAGGAGTACAAACACAGGCAGGACGTGTGCACCTATCTTTTAATACATGCTGGACTATACACAATACTTTCAGTGCTTGGGTAATGCAGCAATAGTTATATATTTTCATCCTTCATACAACACATACTCCCTATGAGAAGAAATAATTTTTCAGCAGATGAATTTGTCACAGGCTTTCAGTGGAGAACACTGAAACAAGTGGCAGAACTGGTGCATGTGCTTCATTATTACTCTTTTACTCTTGCTCCCTCTACTAGCCTTTTCATTTCCAGTTACGTTTTAAACCACTTAGAAGTTCCCATTGCAGGGAGCTAGGAACTATTCTCTGTCAGAGAGACTGCAGACTAGTGTGACTTCACAATTCCCATTTTCCACCACAACATTTTCCTTCCCATTTCAGTATGCTCCCTTGATTTTACAACCCCTCCACACTTGCTTTTCTGAAATCCAATCTGTTTATGTTACTATATTCACTGGCAAACCCATTACTGTTGTTATTGGTACTGAACTTTCACAGTGATCACTGTACTGGAAAGCATTCTTGCTGCTTCCAATATCCAGTTGTGCCTCCTGTTGGACTTATTTCTCAGCCCCCTCACTGCATTGGAAAAGGAAGTGTTGCAGACATCTGCTGCTCTCCTAAAGTTGGTCATCTTGTCCTTGTGCCAATTCAGTGATGAATCTGGAGGTGCAAAGAGTATAGGAGATGGAACTCTAAAGCCTCTGAGCTAATGTGGACTTGGACTGGTGTCTGACCCACTCTAATTCTATTGTTTCTTCCCCAGGAACTCCCTGCAGCAAGTCCTTCTCCTGTGTGCAGGCATTATGGTCATTGTGTTGCTCTCAGTCACTATAGAATGACCTCCGCTCAGACATTATGGCACTTCCCAGAACTGCTGCATTGACTCTGATTTGTTACAAAGCAATAAGGAACACTAATGTAACTTCCTGTATATCCATGTGTGGATCTGGCTGCTAGCGTGAGAGGCAGGTGACAAAGGAGTCATTAGACATGCTGGACTCCATCCCCTGGCTCTTTTATTCGTGCTCCATTAACATCCGACAAACTGGGACTTCCAAAGTCATCATTCTTTGGAGCAGAAGACTTTGAGGAGCAAAAATGAACTAAACAACTACTCCAAGGGGAATGGAGTTTTTCATTCTGGAGTAAAAACGTAATGGAACTGTACTTCCCAGGATCCTGCGTAAAGATCCCTGTAGCTGGTGAAGAGGCAGGGTCTATTTGTCACCTTAGACTTGGGGAGAGAATAAATGTCCCAAAGCAGCTGCAAACCACTAGCTTTCACCAGCGCAACCCTTTTAGCAGGAGCAAAGGTGCTATCAAAACCCCTGAGATGCAGAGGAGTGGAGAACAGCCATCTCCCTCATTTACCAATAGTGTTGTTTATAAGAGAGTGTCAGCCTTGGTAATCCACTTCTCTGGCTTCATTTGCCATAGTTTGATGTCACAGTTGGGTCAGATACTGGGGCAGTTGGGATGAAGTTGGGGTGGTCATGCTCAGTATGGGAGTCTGTTTGCCTCAGCCTTAACCCCTCCAGCAGTTCAATACAGCCTGGGTTCTTATTTGGAAAAAGGCAAATAAATACTTCTGGTCAACCCAAGCAGTCAGTTCACCTATATCTGGGGAGAGAGTCACTTAGTAACTGCTGGCCATGTAAATCCTCTCCTCAGCTGTATGTAAGTGTAAGCAAGGTCTGTGCTCTGATCTCTGTGAGAAGAGATAGAGAAAAGAGAACATGCTGACTATACATAAAGAAAAAGATAAAGCAGAGAAAATTGTCTGTACACGTAGTAAAGAGAAACAAAAGGGTTCAAAAAATGAAAAATTAATCTGAAATCACTGTTAGCTAAGCTGGAATGAAGAAAGAAATGAGAGGCTGACAGCATCATGCCTGTAACAGGAATTTTGTTCCATGGTGTTTATTCAATTTGATGGTCATTTAAATAGACAAGTGAAATTTAACCTGACTGGTGGAGGTGACCAGCTCCAATACCCCTGTTTGTGTTTTTCAAAGGCACGCTATCCCTTAGGCCTTGTCTACATAAGAAAGTTGTACTGATTTTAACAAAACCTGTTTTTAAACCAACAGAGTATAATTAATATAATCACTTTGTTACAGGTATGAAATGCGTGCCCATGGCTAGAGGTATAAAACTGTCTCAAACTAGTCGCTCCCAAAGGGTGTGCTGCAGCCTGCTAATGTGCTGCAAGAGCAGTGAAAGCGTGATACAAGAAATGAGCTGGATCAGGCCACAGCTGTGCTGACCCATGGACCAGTGACTGAAGTGTGTTGCCAATTTTAATCCAGGAAAAAAAGTGTGCCCCAGGTATCAAAAATGTGGTAAACACTACTCTAAACAGAGTTTATTAAAATCAGAACAACATACTGGACTATACAGGGCCTTACTGAAAGTGCTCTTTCCTGTTACACTTCAGTATGTCTAATGCTCCTGAAGAGGTGAGTCTGAATCAGAGTAACAGGCCAGGCCTAAAGTGCTGCCAAGAGCAGGTGCCCTCTATTTCTTTAGAACAGGGGTGTCAAAAGATACGCATCACAGGCTGGATGTGGCCCATGGAACCGTACGATCTGGACCATGGGTCTCGGGCTGAGCCTGCATGCCACATGTGGTTTTGTGCTTGCCCCAGCCACGTGCTACACAGTGTGCAAGGCTGCCACCATCGGCCTGTGGAGCTGTCTCCATCGGTGCTTCATGCAGCACTGACCTGGTCTGGAGCATACGCTGCATGCAGTGCCTGTGCTGGACCAGCTTTGCAGGCTGGCTTTGAAGCTGATCTGAATCAGGCCCACAAACTGGTCCTGTGCATTGGCCGCTGGTCCTACACTCCTCATTCATTGGCTGCTGGTCCTACACTCCTCACTCCCACAGACTGGTCCTACACTCCTCATTCAGTAACGGGGCTGGATGAATTTGATATCCCTGCTTTAGAACATGGGTGTCAACCTCACCCCTCCTCATAAGTTGGATCCAGATGCAGTGGTAGAGCAAGTGGCAGCAGCATGGTAAGCATTGGCCTTGGTACAGGAAGCAACATGACCATTGCTACAAACATGAATTTCCAAAAGGACTCTCCATACCCCAGATTTTGGCACAAGTCCCTGCCCCAAATTCCTGATTCCTCAGGCCACTGCTTACCCAACAACATGGCTCCACGGGTTGGATCTGGCCCATGGGCAGTAAGTTTGACACTACTGTTTTAGAGCTCTTGAACTTTGATCTTTTCCATGGTAGCTTACAGGCTACCTTCTGGAGAGAGCCTGAGAGCTGCTGCTTGTAGTTCCCTCCATACAGGGACCATTAAAATATCTTCAGCTTTTCTTTAACCCACCTTGTATCGTGAACCAGATGTACTGCAGCCACGAGAGAGGCTATTTCAGTGCAGCTTTCATGTACAGTTGAAAGCTGCCTTTCCATGACAGCTGCTGTCTACATCCTCCAGCTGTCATGTGCTCCAGTCCAGCATCCATCTCTCTTTCCAAGCAGCTGTGATGATTAATAGTTCTTAGGTACTCAGTTCTGTTGCTCTGTGGCTGTTTTCCTGGAACTTGGAGCTAAACCAAGCCCTTGGTGTGGAAGTTGAAGAAACATGTCTGTGTACAGTGACATTGTCCAACATTATTCAAAACGTTTTGTTAAAAATCATGATGACATCCAAGTCAAGTGCATTGCAAGATGAGTACCCAGGGTTTGGTGCTAGTATACCGGTGCTGGGTTTGGCTTAGAATGCAAGCCTCAGTGCAAATTCAGTATTCAGGAATGCAAAGTGGATGACACCAAAGCATTAATCTCTGAACTGTTTCTACTGGCTGGCAGCCCAGGCCTGGCCTCTGTCTACAGGTCTTGGGAAGCTGCACCCGCTGGGTTAGCCTGGGGCTCTGGGAGGGGCTGATTAGCTGTTCTGCTGCAGGCAGCACCAGCTCTGAGCCTAAAGGGTAGGTGCTGTGGCAAGGGACAAATAGTCACTCTGCCATGTTTGTCACTTTTGGAAATGCAGAGAGAATCCTATTTTCTAGCTTTATTTTTCCAGCTGCTCTTATGCGTTTTCCCATTCGTCTGTATTGATCTGATCTGCATGGAGACAATAGAGATGAAATAAATGGTTTTGAGTATGTCTGTGGTTTTGATAAGCAACTTTTTTTCATTTTATGCCCTGCGGATCACAGAGCAAAACCCCTGACCCTGCTGTTATCCATCCTCTTCGTAAGCCCTTGTCATGCTATCTAATCCTGAAGCCTTCACTTCTGAAAGCTCCTCAAGTCTCAAACCATTATTATGCCTGCTGTTATAACATGTACATGGATCAGCAGGGATGTGGTCTTATCACTGTTGTCTTACAATATGTGTAGTCTGTGATGCATCTGCAGAGTGTGTAACAAGAATTTTTTCAACCCAGGCAGTACATATATGACAACCCACAGTCTAAATTATGTGATATCCAAAGTTTACTAAGGAAACTTAGTAAAAATCTCATGGGAAGATGTTTTTCTATTCTCCAAATAAGAACAGATCAGAGCGGGTAAGATGTGGTGCCCTAAAAAGGTAAGATCCCTCTTAAAGTGTTATCAAGTGATAAGAGCATATGTTGTTACATACTTGACATAAAATCCTGAAGAACAAAGATGGGAGAGGTGATTACAAGGAGTTGATCTATGTTGGCTGTACGTTTGTTGGGTTAGGACAAGGCTGTCCAAGTTCTTATAAGCCAGGGGCTACAGCAGCAGGGGCCACAGCACTGCTCACCTCCCCAGCTGCTAGCTCCCTTTGCATTACATGGGCAGGCAGTCTCCTCAGCTACTGCAGCACACAGGTGGGCAGGCAGCCTTCACCTCCCAACTGCTGCACCAGGCAGGTGGGTAGCCCAAGTGAAAGCAGGAAAAAGGGAAGCCTGGAGACCCCAACAGCAGCAGAAGGAGCGTTGGGGCTACAGATAGGATCCCTTGTAGGCCACCAATTGGACAGGCCTGTTTTTAGGAAATGTCAGATATCTTGACTTCTGTGAAGTTTAGAGAGGATTGCTGGGATAATTCCAATTCATGGATCTTCCATTTAATCTTTAGAAATGCTTCTTAATTACAGATGTAACTAAGCTTCTGATATGACTTGTGCACGAATATCTCTAAGAATATCAACTCTGCAACTTCCCTTTATGACTGTAAATCACTAATCAGAGAGATCACATCTGCACAAGAAAAGCCAGCCATTGCAGAGAACCCTTGTTAAATTGTGGTTAAACCATGACCACAGCTGTCACAGAGTTCCCAGATGCAGCTAGGTCTTTTATATGATGGTGAAGAGGGACAGCTGTCTTCTGAGCAGGCTCTCTGTGTGTAATATGGCTATGTAGACTGATTTCTGGTTGAGGGCCTGCAAGAACTAAGAAGGAAAAGAGAATTCTCTCCGTGTCAGGTCTAGCACAAGCAGGACAATCTCAGAGATAGCATGCCTCAATCTTCCACTGTGATGGCATTTTCACTTGGTTCATGACCTCCATCCTAACCTGAGCCCAGCCACTGCAACTGAATTTCGGTGAGCCTTGGAACCTCTGGTTTGAGAACTGCTGTTCTAGAACATGCATGGTTCTGTTCCTGAGAGTAATTTCTATTGTGAGGGTGAATAAGACTTTTTTTAAAATCCAACTAATCAAGTATTGTCCAGAAAATGGTTAAACAGACCTTTCAAGCCTATAATTTTGATTTGTAAAAGCAACGTCCTAACAACTGACTTCAGGGAGCAATCAGTTTGCAGCTAGAGCAGTGGGACTCAACCTTTTTTGGACTTGAGGCACCCCTCTAACTTTTGTGAATTGAATGGCACCCAAATAAAAAAAAAACGAATTTGTTTATTACAGTACTTATGTCCTTACACAGGGGCAGGGCAGTATGGGTGCCAGATCATCTAGGCGTGGACAAGCCTGAGCCAAAATAATCTGCTTAATTTATCTGCTTGCCTTTTCACACCTTGCTTATCTCCTAACGCTTTACAGACACCCTTCATCCAATAGCACCCCAGTTAAGAATAATTGAACTAGAGGAATAAGTCCTATGAAACAGCCAGAAGCAGAAGGGATGTTTTTGCCTCTGGACATGTATTTAACTAGTGACTCAGATGTAGCCTACATTTGACTGCATAAAATAGATTGGTATTTTCTGCTTTTTAGGCCTCATTTCCCATATGGTGGTGGGTGAGAGAGCACTATAAACAAATGCAGCTGCTGCTTTTTGTATCTTGTTGATATATATAAATCAGGCTTGAGCCACTGCTTCTTGCAGTACCAGCAGTGCTAGTCTGCCCCCTTGGGATATGACTATGTATGCCAGGCAAGTCACCAGCCCTTCCAGAAAGATGTGGGGGGAACTTAACCCAGGCCTCTGCCCTGAGCCACAAGTGTTCCTCCTGATGATGTAATCTTTTTTATGTAATCTTTTTTATGGTATATCTAGCTTTTGCAAACTATATCTAACTGAATACTTAAGGCAAGTTGCAGATGCTGGGAGGGGTGTGGCATGTGTGTGTTAAGAGATGCTTGCAGAGCACAGCGTGTGGGATGCAGAGGATTCCTGGAATGCCTCCCTAACACCAGCAGGATAGTGTCTCCCTGACACTTGTAAGATAGCAAGAAGTTCAGAAAAAGGTCTCATTATAATGCTAAAAATCACACCCCTGGGCAGGGCAAAAGTATGTTAATGAAACATATATGTATGTAAATGAAATACATGGCTAAAACATAGGTATAGAGACATGCTCAGTAGAGAACGTCTTATGTCAGTGGCTTGTAACCAATCACTGAGCGATACACTTGCAAACATATGTATAAAAGGTACCCAAAGGTAGAAACCGGTGGTGCTTGCTTTGCAAACGATTGCCAAGCACCCCTCTCTGCGCAGACTGGAAACAATAAAGATTAAGTTGGATCCTCCACCCCTGTGTGTTCATTGGCAATAGCGCACCGGGCACGAACTCACACTGTCCGTTGGGAACACCAATTTGGCGACCCAGATGGGACTCTATTGACCGCCTTGCCCGGTCCACCTCCTCCGCTCCGGCAACGGCTGTGGACGGCACGAGGGCCAGGCGCCACCAGCCTTTTTCGTCGGAGGTCTGACTGTCTCCTGGTTGTTTGACGGAGCCGTGGAGGGGTACAACGGCGCAGCGCTCGGAGGACCAACTTAATCTGACGGGACGAGGGAGGTCTCAACGGACTGGTGAGTGTCTCTTTTGATTTACGGATAGGTTAAGTAAAAGAGGCGGCTTTAAAAGTTCCGACCGTGTAGACGCCCTAGGAGAGTGAGATCGGGTGGCAGTCCCGTGAACTCCCTTTAATCAGTTTGGTTCGGAGGCTGAGCGGCGGTCGCCGTCTGGTAGTTAGATAATGGGAAGTAACCAGTCTAAGATCCCACCCTGCAGTCCCTCAGGATGCATTTTGAAAAATTGGCCAAAGTTT